AAATTCAGTTTAAACATAAGTTCAACACTAATATGAAATCAAGAGTATATATTTCATTGAACTAAGAATGCAATACAAAAAGACATGACCAATAAAATAAATATAAATGCATATATATTACTAAAATAAACAGATCAAAATATCTGCACCCCCCAAAATAAAATAATACATAGTCATTTTGGTAGTTTATAACAGTCTTATTAAACAAATTTCAATAGTTGAATCATTCCCATTAGTGTAGGTTAAGGCATGGATTACATCAATTAGTTTAGGAAAATATGCATGGCATGTCATTCATACGATAGTGCGCAAGAAATTTAGCATTGAATTTAAGAGTCGATTCTTAGCTTTTTTTAGTTAAAAGTTAAGAGACGGTTTATCATATTCCGCTAAGAACTCCATCCTAAAAACCTCAATTAGTCATGCTCTTTTATTATTTTCTACGTTCATATATGGTTCATTATTTATCTTTAATTAAATTATTATCTAGATATTTATTTCCATGGGGATTGGTATCGAACAGTAAAATCCACATCACGTTAACTAGTGATACAAACCTATTTCTTCGCTATTGAAGAGGAAATAACTAAAAAGCCTAAAATCTGGAGACATGACTACGATATCTGCACACATGAACTAACCAAATAATACTTTCTTATATTAGTTTTACCTGCAGATATATATTAACAAGTTCAATACATTTTAATATTAGATTGAAAGTCATCACCCTTCTGCCCCATCCAAAATCCAAATATTTGTAAGCTATCACAATTATTTAACACAAAATTAATAATTCATGTAAGCTTATACAATATAAAAAAAAAGTAACCAGCAACCCCATCAATTATGGGTTCCAAAATTAAGACAACCAATGTCACAAACACCTTTTAAAGCTCATAAAGATTTTGAAATATGTTAGCCAAATTTTTTTTCCCCAGTTCAAGCTGTTCTCGCAAATCACATCACCGGTATATACTATAAATCAGCTTCAGAAGCATACAAAATCAGTCATATCGTATCTAACTCCTCCTCCAGTTCACCTCTTTTCACAAAACAGTTCTAAAAAGAATGCATCCTTATCGTTCACATCAATTCCAAATGAAAATCTAATACACAACCAAAACAACTTACAATTTAATAACAACTAAGATAAGACATGCGCCTTGTGCAGGATAAATTTATATAAAAAATAATTAAAAATATTATATGGAAAAATAAATCTATATTCTTGATTGAATTAATATTTTGGTCTTTAAAAGATTTTTTAAATTTTTTGTTAATTACATAATTTTTTTACTGATGAGCTGATCTCATTTTTAAAAATAGTTTTAGGTCAAAATATCACTTACCGCAAAGAACCTAACGTTTATGTCGAAAAATCTCAATTCTATTTGGTTACAATGAAACTATGTCGGTTCAATTTTATATCATGACTTAAAAATTTAAAAAATAATTATGGTTATGAGAATTTTGCATTCACGTGTCAGTCCTATCTATCTTCACTATTTTTCTCTTTTAGTATCTTTTTCATATTGGTTATTGCTCGATATAAATATTGATTTGAAGTTTACTCTCATTTCGTTTGTTTATTTTGGTATGGATTTATGAGTATGAGGATTTAAAATAATTAAAGAGATACATATGTAAGTTAAGATCAGCACTTTTTGTAAAATAAGTATTTTATATTTTATATTTATTTTAGGTTTTTCTTCACATTATGAAATAATAAAATAATAAGTATATATGTAACACTCCGACCGCCCACAGCTAATGGGCCACCCACGCCCGCTCTCTCGGCCCGTGGTTATTTTGGTCTGAGATTTATAAAATGCTTAAGATTTAAAATAATTAAAGAGATACATATGTAAGTTAAGATCAGCACTTTTTGTAAAATAAGTATTTTATATTTATTATTTATTTTAGGTTTTTCTTCACATTATGAAATAATAAAATAATAAGTATATATGTAACGCCCCGACCGCCCACAACTAATGGGCCACCCACGCCCGCTCTCTAGGCCCATGGGCCCCATCACGTTCCAACGGCCGGTCCGTTAATTTTCCAAGGCTCTAGAGTCATGTTTACTGACCCTGCAATCACCACCCGACCTTTCACCGTGCTTTGGCCTCACTTACACGGTATTGCGAATCACTTCCCGATAGGTCACCCATCCTTTGACTACTCCAGCTCAATCACGCTTAACTCTGGAGTTCTCTCTGGATGTGCTCCCGAAAAGGTAAGTGCACTTTGGTGACATAGATAGCCAAATCAATTCTCTTAAGCCTTTTCATTTACCATTAAACTGGGATGTTACAATATATATATTAAATAACTAAAAAATCAGTTAATATTATGTGATAAATTGGCGTGTGCATATTAATTTAACGATCGCTCTTGCTTATTTGTAATTAGGGTGATAAATCAAAATAATCAATCTTATCTGTCGTATACGATATATAATTAAATTTAAATGATATTAACATAGATATATAGTACACTTTTAATATGGATATTTCTAAAATGAGATTTCTACTCATATGATTTTATGATTATTTAACAAAATTTACACCAACAATTTTGAGTGTGAGATGTTTAGTAGTTTCAATAATTTATGATCATTAAAAAAACAATGACGTATTTCAAAATTAAAATATTAAATTTTCAATATATGTTCAATGCAAATATCAAAATATAAGTATATATTTTCATATGATGTATAGTTTAATTTAAACGATATGAAATATCATATATATATATATAGTAACATAAAACCTATTAAAATAAATTTATTTCTTCATATGGTCTTATAATCATTGTATTTTAATATAGAAAAAAATTCAAACCTTGATCATAAAAGCTTATGTGAGACTTTTAACATTTTAGTAATTTATACTCGTTTTGAAAAATTCGAACTACAGCATACAAAAAAAAATCTATATTTTTTATTATATGATTAATGTAATTGTGAATATATTTTAATAATAAATAAATAAACAAAAGTGTACAGATATTTATCAAATATTTATTGTTTGAAATCATTAATTGCCATATATATATATTAATCACATTAGGTAATTTCATAGGTTTTATTTAAGGAAAGTTTGCGAAACAATAAATATTTGATATATGCGACCAATTATAGCTTGAGAAATATTATATTGCTAAATACAGTAGAACCTCTATAAATTAATACTCGATAAATTAAGAATTTCTCTAAATTAATAAATTTTGCTGGTCCTAACTTGGGCCGGTTCAAAATTTGACACAAATTGATAAAATAATAAGATAATAATTTTTTAGAAATTTCTATGTAAACTTATGGTCCCATTAAAATTATAAATTAATAATTTATATTTATACATATTTTAGATAAGTAAGAACCTATTATTATATTGTTTATTTTATATTTACAATAGAATTATTTTTATATTTTCTCGACACTTAATATATTGTTGATGAGATTTAGTAATATTATATCTAAAACCATATTTAAATTCTATGAAATATATATTATATACACCAATTAATATAAAAATAAATTTAAATGTCAAATTCCAAAAAATGATAATAAATATCTATACACTAAAATAAAATATTTTCTTATTTTAGAATAAATATATATTAAAATAAAAAAAATTTAAATAAGGAAACTTTGGTAAATTAATATCTCTATAAATTAATAAAATTTTAAAGTCCCGACATTATTAATTTATAGAGGTTTAACTGTAGTTTAATTTTTAGACTATAGTGTATATAAGATGCTCTAGAATCCTTCTAAATTGAATTAGAAGGCATAGAAAGATGCCACATAGGATGAAGTTATTTTTTAAATAATACAAACTTAAGGTTATATCTTTTCAAATGTTTCTTAATTAATATATATGAGATTAAGTCATATCTTGCGCGTAGTGCGGACATACACTAGTATTATATAAATGATTCTTTTTAAACATGGATATGTTTTATGGTTGTTTAATTTAATAAAAATATAATAAATACTAAAGTTAGGATTATGTATAGTGATATGCGTAATTAATTAATTGTTTTAGTTAATAATTGATTTTGGAAATGTATTAATAAACACACAAAAAGACAAAGAATCTAGGGAAATTTCATAACTACCACTTTCACACTACCACTTTTCAAATATATCACAATTTAATTGCACTTTTCAAATATACCACTTTCATTTGTTGACAAATTACAAAACTAACCCTAGTTATTTTTTTTCTATCATTCTCGTGTGAAAGAGGAGAGGCGGCGGTGGAGGAGGCGCGGCGGAAGAGGCTCTGGTCTGATCGGAGAGTTCGTCGGCGGTGGGGATTTGAGGATCTGGTCTGATCGGTGTCACGAGTCGGAGTCGTCATCTTTGGCTGCGAATCTCAGGGAGAGCGATCTTGTTTCTGTGCGAGGAGAGAGGTGCTTTGCTTTCAGGGTATGTGCAAGTGTTGTAAACCTTTACTTGGAAAGCTTCCTGAGGCGCTGCTGTTTCTTGCTGAGAAAGCTTATTGGGAGTGGAGAGTGAGTGTTTGTAATTTGCTTGAGAATGTGACGAGAGAATGTGAGTTTGGGGTTACTGGTTTGGTTTTGATTGAGAGGTTTTTCTATGATTCGTACTCGAAGTGTGTTACTGGGAGTATCTTTGATGGGTTAAAGATGGATATTGTGAGTTTTGGTATGGAGCTTTTGGGATCGAATTCGTCTGATGAGCAGCCTATTGGGGTTAGGATTCTTAGACAGTTTGCTGTTAGTGAATGGTACTCGGAGGAGACGCTTGAGAAGATTGGAATTAACTTTCCTGTTGTTGAAAGGTTTGGTCTTTACATGTCAAACTTTACAGTGAAGTGATAACATGGCTGCTAACTTTTTGTTGTTATTAGGTTGGTGGAGATGCTGAACTGGAAAGATCTGCAAGAGGAAGAGATTAGGAGATGATTATGTCAATGCCAAATACAGGCTTTTGCATGTTTAGAAATGATTTTGCATCTCTACAGGTAAAGATGGATCATATGGTAACTGCATTGGCCAAGACCTTTAAATCTCCAGTAGTTGACACCATTCAGTCTCTTCCTCAACACCAGCAAGTAAGTTACATCACCATCGCCTTATTGTTATATGGTACTTGTCGTTCTCTAGTCTTAATATGTTTACAGCATGCGTAAGCAAATCTTTATCTTCGTTTTCGAGTAGTATAGCTCATATACTTTGAAAATATACACTAAATTTTAGGGAAAAAAACTGAAGTCATAAAAGAAACGAAAGACTGACGCTGGTTTTTATTTGTTGTATGGTGTGCTTTGCATACACATGTTGCTTCTGAAAGTTGACTGAAATCACATTGCTTGTATTGAAAACTTGCAGATCATAGTCTGTTCTGCAGCAAAGGCCTTTAGAGGAAGCAAAAAAGACAGAACCCTTGCAGAGGTAATAATCTTTAATGAATGAACAATACAGAAACACAACTTCATTCAGTTATAACTAAAGGCAGTGTACATAATGTTTTCGTCTCTATTTTGACACACTTGGATGCTAAATAAGTTATACTCATAAAGGTCCACACTGATTTTGCTATTTGCATCTTCCTATGTGTTTGTGCATGATAATTTACTAACTAATCCTGGGACTTGGGAACTGCAGATTCAGCTCCTCGCTGATCTAAGTTTGAAGAAGATGCTTCAGCTTATTGAGTTGGTGGAGGACAACGAGGTAATGACCAAGCATATCTCTTCGCCAATTTTTGACCATAGTATACGTGTGTTGTAAATAACAATAACAAGGTTCCTGTCTGCAAATGATTTTGATATGGTTAGCTTCTGTAATCACTTCCTCTACCACACATATATTGGATTTTCAACAGCTCTAGGAGTAGTTCAGCTTCTTGTTGATACTTACGCAGGTTTCACCAAGTCGAATTTTGCATGATGATTTTGATACTCCTGCAAGCGTAAGTTACAGAGAGCAAGCTTAAAACCAATGCAGAAGAGGCTCTTTCTCTTCTTCTCCTAGCACAACTTGGGACTTGTCACCATTTGATGAAGCAAGAAATGCAAGCTGCAGCGACTTCTGCCCTCGCCCTGCCATGTCTGATTTGCTTAAGGAGAGTCTTCTAGGCTCAACGGTAAAAGTAAAATGACCACTTATGATCACACTGATCAACAAGTTCTGCTCTCTCAGTTCAGGGACGCAAATTTCTTCGTTATTAAGTCATATAGCAAGGATAATGTCTACAAGAGCATAAAGTATTGTGTCTGGGCAAGCACTAAAAACGGAAACAAAAAGTTAGATGCTGCCTATCGTGAAGCAAATACTAAAGAAGTGGCATGCTCAGTCTTTCTGTTGTTCTCGGTAAATTTTGTACAGCAATCCCTCTCAGGCTTCATCTGTGTATTTCTAGCTCAACCCGTTGAGTTTTGATCTTTAAGTATATCATTTGAATGTTGTGCTTTCTGAATGCTTTCCTCAGGAACATTGCAAACAATCATTGCTTGACATTGTTAATTTATAAGAGTTTATAAAAACATTTATAAATTTTATAAGAGGTTATAAAACCTTATATCAACAATCTATAAAGTTTATAAAACACATATAAATATTTATATAACTATTTATATAACTATGTATAAAGGTTTATAAAACGATTTAAAAGGGTTTATAAAACTATTTACAAAAACTTATAAGCTATAAATTAATTTACAAGGTTTATAAATTTATTTATAAGGGTTTATAAATCTATTTATAAGGGGTTATAAATCTATTTATAAGGGTTTATTCAAAAGATTATAAGAATTTAAAAATCTTCATAACACAATTTATAAGAGTTTATAAATCAATTTAGAAGTGTTTATAAAACAGTTAGAAAAGTTTTTATCATTTATAATTTTTTACAAAAATTATAAGTAAATCTTTATGAAAGTATTTATTATGTTATAATTCTCCTATAAATGTTTGTAAATTATTTACAAAATCATTTTTTAACCAAAACACCATTATTGTATGTGTAATTATAGAATTCATAAATCATTTTGTAATGATTTATATCACCTTATAAGGATTTATAAGAGATGTTTCATTTGTGTCAGATGGGTTTAGGACATATTTATAAAAGTTGGTCAAATATATATGAAATATAAATTTATTTATAAGAGTTTATAAATCTATTTATAAGGGTTTATCAAAAGATTATAAAAATTTAATAATCTTCATAACACAATTTATAAGAGTTTATAAATAAATTTAGAAGTGTTTATAAATCAGTTAGAAGAGTTTATAGATCATTTAAAAATTCTTACAAAAATTATAAGTAAATCTTTATGAAAGTACTTATAATGTTTATAATTCTCCTATAAATGTTTGTAAATTGTAAACTGATGTATAAAAGTTGTAAAGGCTTTCAGACAGAAGAACATCAGATTGTTATACGCTTTTGGACAGAACAACTTCAGATTGTTATACACGTAACTAAGTACACGTAGCCGCTTTTGGACAGAACAACATCAGATTGTTATACACGTAACTAAGTACACGTAGCCTCCAAAGACAGCAGACCAAACGTTTCTAAGTACACAAAAATAAAAATGGTTAAAGAGGAAAAACATATCCATTCTCTTATAAATCATTTATAAGGGTTTATAAATCATTTATAAGGATTTATAAATTATTTATAAGTGCTTATAATTTCTAATAAATCTTTGTAAATCGTTTATAACTATTTATCAATAAATGATAAGAAATAAAAATATTTATAATGATTTATAAACCCATTTACAAGAGTTTTATCATTAATAGGTAGTAATAGGTGTTTTATAAAGGTTTACAAAATAACTAATAAGACTTTATAAATCATTTGTAAGAGTTTATAATCTTTATAAACAATTTACAAGAGTTTATACATCTATTTATAAGGGTTTATAAATATATTTATAAGCGTATATAAGTTGATTTTCAAGTGATTTGTCAATTGGCTGATTAGTGTTTATGAATATTGTTAGGGTAAATATCCAGTCGACTTAGCTAGGAAAAATGAGTATAAAGAACTCAGAAATGAGTACAGCTGAAGTGTTCAAAGACAAACAAACGTATGAGTAACATATGATCAACCAAGCTATATAAAAGGCACATTAAACAGCTAAAATGGACACAAGCCTAGAAAATTGTGCAGCTTATGAAAAAAATGTAGATAATTGTTGCAAAACCACATGACAATAGCGTAGATTGAGAAACATGATGATTCAAACGTCAGTCTTTAACAAAAGTAATGTTGTGTAAGGGAATAGAAAGGAGTCCATAAAAAGAACAAACCTTTTCCTTTTTTCTGTTAGCTGCTTTGTTGTTTTCACAAGTTAGTTCTCTCTTCTTATGGAACTCCTCTTTGAACTAATTCGCTTCCTCAATGATTTGGTTACGCAACTCCTTTCTTTCTTCTCCTTCCCCTCAAGCTGAATTACATTTTGTCTGCACATAACATAAGACCATAGCAAGATACATCACTCATCAAATCACATTGATCATATCGGATTATTCATAGACCATGTCAGATTTATTATCAACCCAACTCAATAACCATTACAAGATGCAAACTTTAACATAAAAATACCAAAAGGAAAAGACTTCAAATTAAAACACATACATTAACTAGTCACACAACAGTCTTCTGAAGTATAAACCTCTCTTTGAGTTGGAGTGAACTTCCACTGCATCCCAGCTGCAACATCAGAATTGAACTGCATCACAATCTCCCTATATTTACAAGACCAACATGATAAAGAGTATAGTCAGCTACCGTTTTGATCATACACATACAAAAAGAGTTGATAGGTTATGAATGGTGTTAAGAGAGAGAGAGGAATACACACCTTTCAGTGACAGTACCAGATTCTGAATGCCTAGCAATCTTATGTTGGACCAAAAAGATAACAAAATAAAAGATATTGTCCTGGCAATTTGTAATATTATATCGAATCGTTCTTTGCGGGAGAAAAAGCAGAGGGCCTTACCAGATAAGAAACAAACTGGAAACTTCTTGTATGCTTCCCATCACCATAAACAGTCAACGCTTCTTTCCTTAGTGCATGTTCAATTATTTACAAATTGTGACATTATCATTACTCATCCACTAAATCATTCATAAATCATTTACTATTTGTGCCACTAGATTATAAACTAACCTGCGCAACGAAGTTGCTGAAAACACGACCATCCTCTATACACATTCTTGGACCATATGTGTTGAAGATCCTAGCAATCCTGACCTGTGACCACAATCAAACAAGGCAAACAAAAAGTTAGTCACTGAAACGTACTCCATCTCGTCTTCGGTTCTTCCTCATTATTTACTAGAGAGAAACGTAACTTGGCTTGAAAGGGAGGTTAAATGAAAGCAAAAAAAAGTAACTAACCTCAACATTGGCTCCACGGTGATAGTCCATGGCCAACGTCTCAGCCGTACGCTTTCCTTCGTCGTATCAACTACGAACACATGTTCCAAACCATTACAGCCACAATTAGATGATTTCAATAGTCAGATCTTGAAATCAAAGACGGAATTTAAATCGTTCCCAATCAATCAGGAAAAGAATGAATACCAGAGAAGCTGAGATTTTGAAGACTTATGTCGTCACCACTCTTTGATTGACATCAAACACTCGCCGGAGAAGCCAAGTAGACGACGAAGCGGGATTCGTAGCCGTTGAACGGCGCCTTGAACACCATCTGAGGAAGCAGTTTACAACGTCTCCTGGTCAGAATCTCACGACTCCGTACTCATCGCCGCAATCAGCGACGGCTCCGTGAAGATCTACGACACATCTCTCTCGCCTCGTCGTTGAGAAGAAACCGTGGGAAAGAGAAGGAGGTAGATTTAGCTTTAATTAACTAGGGGTACTATAGCCTTTTGCTTATCAAAATTTTGAGTGTAAAGTTGGTTAATGTAAAAGTGAAATATGGTATCATCAAAGTGCTAGTTTAGCAATTTCCCAAGAATCTAAAAGGTAAGTTTGTTAATTTCTCCAGTGGCATTCTCTTGTAAATAAGTTGTAAATCTTAGAGTATTTTCTATTTGTATTTCTATTTCTCAACGAAAACCAACTTTACGATGCGAGCAATGCTTTTGTGGACCATAAGTGACTTTCCTGCATATGGTATGTTGTCTGGGTGGACTACACATGAGAGATTAGCTTGTCCATATTGTAATGGAATGACAGATGCGTTTCAGTTGAAGCATGGTAGGAAGACTAGTTGCTTCGATTGTCACTGTCGATTTCTTCCCATCCACCACCCATACCGAAGAAACAAGAAATTGTTCAGGCACAAAAGGGTTGTCAGAGACACTCCTCCTCCATATTTAACTGGAGAACAAATCAAAGCGCAAATCGATTACTACTGTGCTCTAGAAACAGCTCCTCGTGGTGGAAATTGGCATTCCCAGTAATATGCCTGATTTTTATGGTGTTCAGCACAATTGGCACAAAAAGAGTATATTTTGGGAATTGCCATATTGGAAAGATCTTCTTTTGCGCCACAACCTCGATGTGATGCATATAGAGAAGAACTTTTTTGAGAACATCATAAACACTATATTGAACGTCCCAGGGAAGACGAAAGACAACGTAAAATCGAGGTTAGACTTACCCGATATCTGCTCAAGGAGTGAGCTACATATAAAAAGCAATGGGCAAGTTCCAGTTGCAATATTCAGATTGTCATCAGATAAAAAGTCTGCGTTGTTCAACTGGGTGGCTTCAGAAGTGAAGTTCCCTGATGGGTATGTTTCAAATCTCTCAAGATGTGTTGAGAAAGGGCAAGAGTTCTCCGGGATGAAGAGCCATGATTGTCATGTCTTCATGCAGCGACTACTTCCTTTTGCGTTTGCGGAGCTACTACCGGCAAAAGTACATGAAGCACTTTCAAGTAATTAATTAATATAATACGATGATATGATTATACATATATATATACTAATGTGGATAATGTTTGTTTTTGTAAATATACAGGAATTGGAGCAATTTTTAGGGATCTGAGCACCCGCACTCTTAAATTGGAAGTTGTCCAACAACTTCATGAAAACATCCCTGTCTTAATCTGCAACTTGGAGAAAATATTTTCGCCTACTTTTTTCGACGTCATGGAACACCTAGTTGTCCACCTCCCGTATGAGGCATTACGTCGTGGACCTGTTCATTATGGATGGATGTATCAGTATGAAAGGGCCATGAAAACTTTGAAAGGAAAAGCCAAAAACCTAGCAAGAGTTGAAGGTTCTATTGTTGCGGGAAGTTTGACGGAAGAAACATCACATTTCACATCGTACTACTTTGCACCGAAAGTACGTACAAGGAAATGAGCTCCAAGAAGATATGATGATGGTGGTGTCGTGCCGACATATATGGAAGACGATGTTCCAGACATCTTTTGTCAAATTGGGCG